CCTACCTGGTGAAGGTGCGTGGGGAGCCGGGACAGCGGACGGCCGGGCTGACGGGCAAGCAGGCGGGGCTGCTCTGCACCAGCCTCCTGGCCGGCGGGCTCCTGCTCCTTCCCCTGCTCAGAACCTGTGCCAGGAGGCCCCCGACATGCTGGACGACCCGCCCCTGCCGCTTACGCTGCCCAGCCTGGAGTCGCTGACCTCAGTCCAGCTGCAGAGGCTGACCAGCCTCCACGTGGCGAGCAGCCTCTGGACAGCCGGCAAGCCCACTGAGCCAGCCTGGAGGCTCCCCCCCAGCTACCCTGGCTCAAGGTCTGGCTGCGTGCCCCCAGGGTCCCAGCACAAGGCCCAGGGCTCCCGGGCACCGGGGCCGCCTCAAGCCTGTCTCGGCCCTGGCACCTCCCTCCGGTCCCCTGCGCCCCCTCTGGGGCCCGGCCACCCTCCTGAATGACTGCCGGCCTCCGTGCAGTCCCGCTCAGAGCTCCTCCATCGTCTCTGTCTGCAGCTCGGCCTTGTCCATCGAACGCGGGACGGCGGTACCTCAGCAGCCGCTCTTGAAGGAGGTGGGGTGGCCCTGAGCCCCTCCCCACCCCGAGGCCCAGGCTTGGGCCGCACCCCTGGGGCAGGCCTGGGATCCCTGTGGTTCTCTGGGTAGCACAAGGCAAGACTCTGGGGAGAATGGCTGACCTCTGACCCCCGCCCCAGGACCTGGAACCCATATTTGCCCGGGACAAAGACCTTCAGGAGCTGAGGCGGGGCGAGGTGGTGCCAGCGGCCCGGGCCCCACTCACCTGGCCGCAGCAGCTGGAGGCGTTTGACAACTACCTGTATCTGATCTACGGCCCGTCCCTGCTGGTGGGTGGGTGCCTCCCCCGCCCAGCCCCGTCCTCCTTCCTGGGGCTGCGACACCACCCCCGCCCGGCCTGCACCCCCAGGGCCTGCACCCCAGGACAGACTCCCAGCAGTTGATCAGCGTGGCCGCCGGCACGGAGAAGAGCAGGGATGTGTCCGCCCTGCCCAGTGCCATCCCGAGTCTGGTGAAGGCGGGGGTCTGCATTGACTCCCCCAAAACGCTGCCCCCACGGGACCGGGGGGCCCTGAGCCTGGGCATCGCCCACCCTCCCCACGGCGTCTCGCCCGTCCCTCCCGCCCACAAGCAGGTCCACAGCAGGGCCTCCCAGGTGAGGCCTCCCAGCCCCGCCGCCCCTCTGCCCCGCAGGCAGGGCCCCGCCCCCCGCCCTGACTCCTCCCCTGCCCCAGCTGCTGGCCCGCTCCTCCCTGAGCTCCTACCTGGGCCTCAGCGTGGACCTGCAGCTGCAGTCGGAGCGGCTCCTGGCGGAGAGGCCTGAGGCCCCAGAGCCACTGTCTCGCTCGAGGAAGGAGAGGGTGAGGGGCTGGCCAGATGGGGTGCTGCCCGCCCAGGGCAGAGCTGCAGGGGGGCACGGAGTCCCCGCCCGGCTCTGAGCCCCTGGCCCGCCCCCAGGTCCCGCTGCTGGAGGAACGGCGGCCCAAGGAGCTGCTCTCTAACCTCAGGGGCTTTTTTCCTGCCACTATTGAGCAACTCAAGGTGAGACACACACACACACACACCCCCGAGACCCTCCCTGCAGGAGTCACCCCCATGTGCTCCCCCTCGGCTCTCTTTATAAAAAAATATATCTTTGTATTGACTTCAGAGAGGGTGGGAGAGGGGGGGAGAGACAGGAACATCCATGATGAGAGAGAATCGTGGATCGGCTGCCTCCTGCACGGCCCACCCCGGGAACCGAGCCCACCACCCAGGCACATGCCCTTGACCACAATCGAACCCTGGCGCCCTTCCGTCTGCAGGCCGGCGCTCTATCCACTGAGCTGCACTGGCCGGGGCTGCCCCTGATTCCTGAAGGCTCTCCACCTGTCTGTGTGTTGTGTTGGGGGGAGGGGTGTTCAGCGCATGGAGACCTGGCAGGAAGCTGGGCAGGTGGCAGGCACCCGGCCCGGCCCGGCCCGGCCCGGCCCTGGAACAGGGCAGAATTCGGGTCCTCGCCCGCCAGGCCGCACTGTCCCCCTAGAACCTGCCGAGGCCCGTCAACTTCCCAGGCTGGATCCCCAACTCCGCGGTGCTGCAGCAGCTGTGGCTGCCCCAGGAGGTCAGCGGCCTGGGGGCCCTCCCTCAGCTCCAGGACGAAAGCTCTCAGGCAAGGGTTGGGCCCGGGGCTCGCCCCGTGGGCAGGGGAGGGCTCTGCCGCTTGGGGGGGGGGTGCCACTCGTGCCGTGGCTAGTGGTGCCGTCCCCTCTGCAGCCAGAGGGCAGCCAGGAGGACCTGTGGCTGCTGCGGGCCAGGCGGGTCCTCACCCGGAGCCAGGTCGGGCGGTCGGGCGAGGAGTGGGACGAGGGCCTGGACCTGGACCTGGACTGGAGCTTGGACTGGAGCTTGGACTACCAGAGCCCCCCCGCGGAGGGCTCCCCGGAGCTGGCCCCCGAGAAGCCGCCCCCGTCCTGGCTGAGCCTCCTCAGGCAGGTGAGAGATGCCGAAGAGGCGCAGCCCTCGGAGGTCACCACGCCCCTGCTCAGGACCGCCGTCCAGAGGTTCGAGGGCCTGATCCGGAGGCGCGCCCGCGACAGCGCCAGCAGGTCCGAGACCTTTCTGCGCCGCCACCGGTACCAGCGCGGCCACTCGCTGTGGGAGCTGCGCTACGGGCACGTGCCCCGGTTCCTGCGCTTCTTCGTCATCCAGAACTGGTTCAAGAAGCTGTTCCCGCTCTTCACCCTGGAGGTGGGGGGGCTGGCGGGGGGCGGGACTCAGGGTGGGAGGGGGCGGGGCGCGGGGCGGGGCCTCAGCGCGGTCCTTGCAGGCGTACCCCGAGCTGGGCACGGTGGACGGCCTGGCCCAGGGGTTCATGGACCTGCTGAAGGAGGTCTCCTGGGAGGACCGCGTGCACATCCTGCGGGCGCTGCAGAGGCTGCTGCCCGAGATGAGCAAAAGCCTCTACAAGAAGCTGCAGGGGATCATCAAGTACCTGCTCAACATGGACCAGCCCCCCGACCTCCAGGTCCGCCCCGACCTCACCCCCGCCCGCCCCCCGCCCCGCCCCGCCCCCTCCAGGCCCCAGAATCACCCTCGGCCTGTGGGGCTCAGGAGACCACCCAGAAGCACTTCGTGATGCTGGCCCTGCAGCTGCAGCTGGCCTGCTCCCTGGAGTCCCGCGAGGTGGTGCTGGAGCTCATGTCCTACCTGCTCTACTCGCCGGCCTCCTGCCGGTGAGGCCGCCTCCGCCGCTCGCCCCCCCCCTCCGCCCGCCCCCCTCCGCCCACAGGGGTGGGAGGCGGGAGCTGGGGGACACGGGGACTGGGATGAGCCGCCCGCCCTGTCCCAGGCCCGAGCTCCAGAAGCTGCTGGACGGGCTGGGCCTCCAGGACCCGGAGGGCGTCCTGTTCAGGGAGATGATGACCTGGGTGCCGGACCTGGACCTGCACTGCAAGGCCGTGCTGCGCCGCTGCTGCTCCGAGAAGCTGGAGGAGATGATCCACGTCCTGGAGGTGCGGGGGCGGGGGAGGGGGTAAGGGGGGTCCGCCCTCCGCCTTCCCCCAGGGGCAGGGGAGAGCCAGGGGCCTGGCCTTGCTCTGCATCCACGCCCCGTCCTCCCGTCCGCCTCTCGGATCTCCTGCCCCTTCCTGGGAGGGAGTGTCCGCCTCTCGGATCTCCTGCCCCTTCCTGGGAGGGAGTCTGCAGCGGGTCGGCGTCCGGGAGCAGCACCCGCCCCGCCTCCCCGCCCCGCCCGCCCGCAGGTAGAAGACTTGCAGCCTTCGGTGGCCAGGCTGTCGGACGTGCTGCCCAAGGTCTCCGAGACGGCGCTGTCGCAGGTCTTCTCGGAGTCCCTCGCCCACCTCTCTGTGCCGCCCTCGCCCGCCCGCTCCTCCACGCTCTCCGTGTCCTGGACGCCCTCGCAGCTGGTGCTGCGCCGGGGGCAGGGCCCCGCGGCCCCGGAGCCCCCGGCCCGCCCCCGCCGCTCGCACCGCACGCTCTCCGAGAGCCTGGTGCCCTTCTGCACCGTGCCCGACATCTACGTGCGCTCCTCCGCGCCCGACGCGCTGCTCGAGCGCCCGCTGCCGCTGGAGGAGACCGAGTGGTCGCGGTCCAAGATCCTGGACCTGGGGCCCATCGACGCACTCAACTTGTTCTGCGAGCAGAAGCGGCGGAGCTACCTGCAGGAGGAGGCCTGGGCCCTGAGGCTGCCCCAAGTGCCGCCCAACGCCGTGGTGCCGCCGCCCCGCCATCACGTGTGAGTGCGCGCGGAGGGCGCCGTGTGTGTGTGTGTGTGTGTGTGTGTGTGTGTGTGTGTTTGTGTGTGTGGCTGGGGGCCTGGCTCAGGCAAACCCATCTTCCTTTTTATTTTCCTTTATTTTAAATATATTTTATTGATTTTCCACAGAGAGGAAGAGAGAGGGATAGAGAGTTAGAAACATCGATGAGAGAATCATCAATCAGCTGCCTCTTGCACACCCCCTCCTGGGGATGTGCCCGCAACCAAGATACATGCCCTGGACCGGAATCGAACCTGGGATGCTTCAGTCCACCAGGCTGACGCTCTACCACTGAGCCAAACCGGTCTCAGCAGTATTTTTATTTATTTTTTAATATATTTTTATTGATTTCAGAGAGGGAGAGAGAGAAACACCTCAATGATGAGAGAGAATCATCATCGATTGGCTGCCTCCCGTACGCCCCCGATTGGGCATCAAGTCTGAAACCCCCAAGGAATGTCCCTCTTGACTGGAGTCGAACCTGGGTCCCTGCAGCCAGCAGGCCGACGCTCTATCCACTGAGCAACCCACACCCACCTTCTTACCACCCTAGGCTTGACCCCATTCTCAGGCTCCAGGAGACCAAGCACCGGAGACCTGCAATGAGACTGAGGGGTGAGTGGGGACAGGGGTAGAGATTGGTCCCTGAGCTCCACCCCATCCCCCCCCAGCCTGGGTCCCCCGGGGCCTCAGCCTCCCCCCCAGGCCTCACCGCCCCGATGACCCCAGGCCAGCTGCTGGCCCGGCACCGGGAGGGCCTCGCCCTCGACGGCTCCATCCGGACGCTGAAGCTGCCACTGCCTCGGGTGGAACTGCGGCCATTCCCCCTGGACTGGCCCCGGCCCGCCCGCCCGCTGCCACCCCTGCTCCTGCAGCCGCCCCTGCGGCGCTACTTCCTGCCAGACCTCGCAGACCCGGACTTCTTGGACTGACCTGCCGGGCCCTGGGCTGGACCCCGCTCCCAGCCCGCCCCTGCCCTCCAGGGGGGGACAGGACACAGCTCCCCACGGGGCTGCCCGCCCCTGGCCAAGACGGGGAACTGGAATAAAATCCGGACAGAAAACTGGATGCTGAGACCGTCTTTGGGGGCCCCCAGGCGGGCAGGGAGGGCAGGGTGGTGGTCAGCCCCGGGTGGGCGGGATCTGTGTGGGTTCCTCTCTGCTCAGGCATCAGCCGACATTTCTCTGTCAGTTACTGAGGGCAAGAAGGGAGGGCGGGCTACCAGCCAGCACTGGCCAGGTGTTCTGGGGGGAGGAGAGGGTCTGGGTGGCCACTCAAGGTACATGCCCTTGAACGGAATCGAACCTGGGGCCCTTCAATCCACTGAGTCAAACCAGTTTTTGCCTTAAAAAAAAAATAAAAAAAATATATATATATATATAATTGATTTCAGAGAGGAAGGAAGAGATAGAAACATCCATGATGAGAATCACTGACCGCCTGCCTCCCGCAGGCCCCACCCTGGGGATTGAGCCACAACCCTGGCCTGTGTCCTGCCCGGGAATCAAACTGTGACCTCCTGGTTCGTAGGTCGACGCTCAGCCCCTGAGCCAGGCGGGCCGGGCAGGGGCTGTGGTCTTTGGCTGCAGGTGAAGCCGGGAGTGTGTTGGCATGTGGTTCCCTTTAGGCTAAGAAGGAAGCTGCTGACGGGGCTCCACCTGTCTCATCCAAAAAGCAATGAAAGGGGCAGTGTCTTCAGGACGCTTGGGCTTACCAGCAGGGGGTAGACTTGCTCTGTGAAGTGCAGGGTCTGGAAGGTCTCGCAGGGACTCCCGTGCTCGCTGGCTACCTGGCCACTGGGGAAGGGCGCTAGGGAAGAGTCTGGCGTTCACGCCCGTGGTTTGGGCAGCCAGGGCAGCTGCTTCATTCCTGTGAGTTATGGCTGGCCTCCCACCCCTTCACCGTCGTCCCCACGCTGTGCAGGGGGTCTTGATGTGGGGCTGCTGTGTCGAGGGTTCTTTTGAGGCCAAGCAGGGCCAGGAGTGCCGCCTGGAGAGCTGCAGGGTGGAGCCATTGAAAAGGGGGTTGTGCAGCCTACGGTGGTGAGCCACCACTGTTTTTTTCTGGTTTAAATGATAAAAGCAACAAAAGCTTTTAAAATTAAAAACACGAGCTGGCCAATGTAGCCCATTGGTTAGCATGTTGACCCATGCACTGAAGGGTCGAGGGTTCGATTTCCCATGAAGAGCACGCACCTGGGTTGCAGGTTCAATCCCTGGCCCCGATTGGGGCTGTGTGGTAGGCACCAATCAATCAATGAGTCTCTCTCACATCCATGTTTTTTTCTCTCTCTCACCTCCCTTACTTCCACTCTCTAAACATCAATGGAGCCCTAACCAGTGCTCAGTGGATAGAGCATCGGCCTGTGGACTGAAAGGTCCCAGGATCGATTCTGGTCAAGGGCATGTACCTTGGTTTTGAGGCAGCTGATAGATGTTTCTCTTCACTGTTGTTTCTAACTATGCCTCTCCCTTCCTCTCTGTAAAAATAAAAAATCAATAAAATATATTAAAAAAATAAAACAACAATAAAACAAAACACCCACTAACCACAAATAAAAATATTAATATTTTTAAATACATATCAATATGCAATTATTTTTAAATTAAGCAATCAGTTAACTGAAATATAGCAATAAGAGTGAAAAGGCAGGCCACATGTAATTAAAAGTGACTCCAAAACATAAAACTTCTACAAATCAATAAGAAAAATCACACAACCTAATGGGGAAAAAATTAAACAAAAAGCCAAAATGAAATTTTCACTATAGAAGTCGAAATGGGAAAAAAAAAGTTTACTCCACTTCCTGTGTGATCTTAGGTGAGTTACTGTAAGCCTCAATTTCCCCATCTATGAAAGGGGGACACCTCACAGGACTGCTGCGAGGATGAAGTTAATTAGTACATCTCAACACTTAGGACCAGTTCAACGCAGGGCATGCAGACAGAAAATGAAGCTGACCCCTTCCTCACATTATTGACAGGAGAAACCTCCAGAGGATTTGAGTATTGGAATGTAGGAAATAAAAGGTAACCCGACACTTAGAAGGGAAAGATAGATATATTTGCTGAAAAAAAATGGATTGACGCTCCACCACTGAGCCACGCCATCCTGGCCAACTCTTGTAATTTTAACTTTAAAATTATTATTTTTTTTACTTTTCCATTTATCTTGGAAATATTTAAAGCTCCCTAGTTGGTGATTTCTGTCAACACTTCTGGACTGCAAGGGGACCCTGAAGGTGCACACTTCTGTCTCTCTCAAAAGTGCCCACCAGAGGGCACCATTTACCCATGTGAGCCACAACATCTCCATTTCCGGGGAACCTCCTGCTTTTATGGGCTACATCGGTGTGTGGGGAGCAGGGAGTTCCCTTGGGAAGGTGGGCACCCTCTTCCTCAGCTCCCAAGGGACAGGTTAGGCTGGGATGGCGGCTCTGGAGTGCCCTTCGCATGGGTCTGCGTCCAGGGCCAATCCCAGCTTTAGGCCTTATTACCTACAGGCGTCAGGGGCTGCTGTTGCCCCGAGAGTGGCTCTCCTGGGTGTCCCTGGCAGTGGTCGGCAAAGTCAACAGAGCCAAATGCCAACAGTACAACGATTGAAATTTCATTTGAGAGCCAAATATTTAAAAAATATATATATTTTATTGATTTTTTACAGAGAGGAAGGGAGAGGGATAGAAACATCGATGAGAAACATCCATCAGCCGCCTCCTGCACACCCTCTACTAAGGATATGCCCGCAACCAAGGTACATGCCCTTGACCGGAATCGAACCCAGGACTCCTCAGCCTGCAGGCTGATGCTCAATCCACTGAGGATGCCAACAACCATCTTTTTAAGGGGCTTGTAACCATGTAAAGGTAAAGTACATAATAACCCATGACAAAGGATAAATGGGGGAAACCTTATAATAGGCAAGAAGAGAGGTCTCCCTAGCTGGCTGGGCGCAGTGGATAGGGCGCAGGCCTGAGGACAGAAGGGTTGGGGTTTGATTCCAGGCAAGGACGCATGCAGCCCGATCCCCAGTAGGGGGTGTGCAGGAGGCAGCCGGTCCATGATTTTTTCTGATATTTCTCTCTCCCTAGAATCAATAAAAAGTATATATATATATATATATATATATATATACACACAAAAGTGAAAATATATGCACTTTTTTGTATATTATATATATATAAAACGGCGTTAGGCTAGGAATGCAAGGCTGGTCTAACATGGGCAAGTCAATGTCAAGGATCGTCTCTTCCAGCGAAGGTGAGCCTCTGCCCGGTCCAAGATGGGGGAGGCATGTGACGTCAGCCGCCAGGGGCCGGGGGCACCCCAGGGGAAAGTGCCACTGAGCGGCCCCAGCGTGTGTGCCTCAAGGAGCCCCAAAGCCCTATCCTCCCTCCCACCCAGGTAGGCGCTTCCGGCGGCACCCAGTCCCACAATGCCCCGCGCCTCGGCGTAGTCCCGCCCCGCACGCTGGCCCCGCCCCTTCCACAGAGTCCACGGCCTCGGATTGGTCTCCATGGCTTCCGTGTTCCGGGTGGGCGGGGCCGGGGGCGGGGCGCACTGGCCCGGCGGTCGCGAGATGCCGGGAGACGCGGGGGAGTCTGCGGCGGACGCGGCCTCGCGGGCGGGCGGCGTGGGCGCCGGAGGGCCGCCGGCTCCGGAGGCGGAGGCCGAGGCGGCCGAGCTCCTGCCCTTCCTGGCGCCCGGCGCGCGGGCGGACTTGCAGGCGGCGGCGGCGCGGCACGTGCTGGCGCTGACGGGCTCGGGGCCCGGCCGGACGCTGCTGGCCGGGCAGGCGGCGCTCCTGCGGGCGCTGGCGGCGCTGGCGGCGGCCCCCGCCCCGGCCCCGGCCCGCGACGCCGCCCGCGCCCTCGTCAACCTGGCCGCCGACCCCCGCCTCCACGAGCCGCTGCTGGCGGCCGCGCCCGCGCTGCCCGCCCGCCTGCTGGGCCGCGCGCTGGACCCGCAGTGGCCCTGGGCGGAGGAGGCGGCCGCCGCGCTGGCCAACCTCAGCCGCGAGCCGGCGCCGTGCGCCGCGCTGCTGGAGGCGCTGGCGGCCGCGGAGCCCGGGGAGGCCGGCCTGGGCCTGGAGCGGCTGGTGCGCGCGCTGTGCACGCCCGGCTACAACGCCCGCGCGCCCCTGCACTACCTGGCGCCGGTGCTCTCCAACCTCAGCCAGCGCCCCGCGGCCCGCGCCTTCCTGCTGGACCCGCACAGGTGAGCCCCTGCGGCCCGCGGGGGGGCGGGGAGCGAGCAGGGACAGCACTGAGCGGCCCCTCCGTCCTCCAGGTGCGTGGTCCAGCGGCTGCTGCCCCTCACCCAGGACCCAGACTCCACGGTGCGCAGGGGCGGGGTCGTGGGGACGCTGCGAAACTGCTGCTTCGAGCACCGTGAGTGGCGGCGGGGGAGGGTCATTGCTGCGGGAGGCAATGGAGGGGGAGGCTGGATTCTAGGGCCCCTCTAGACTGGAGTGGTCCCTTCCCTGTCTCTTACCCCCTCCAGGACACCACGAATGGTTGCTGGGTCCCGAGGTGGACATTCTCCCCTTCTTGCTACTGCCCCTGGCCGGGCCTGAGGACTTCTCCGAGGAGGAGATGGAGCGTGAGTGGCTTAGGTGGAGCCTCAGGCTTGGCGGGAGGAGAGGACAGTAGTGGGAGGGGGAGGAATTGTCCCCATCAGGGCCCCTTCTGAAGCCTCCTAGCGTGCGAGTGGCTGAGCACAGGTGGGGCTGACAAAGGGTGGGGGGGAGGTCTGGCCTGGTGGCCCAGCTCAGGGACCCAGGGACTCCCACCTCCGCCCCTAGGCCTGCCCGTGGACCTGCAGTACCTGCCGCCAGACAAGCAGCGGGAGCCTGACGCTGACATCCGGAAGATGCTCATTGAGGCCATCATGCTGGTGAGCAGGGGCCCCGCCTGGGGGGAACCCCGCCCCCCAACATGTACGCCAGCATCTGGCTAAAGTCTGCTCTCTCTCTCTCTCAGCTGACGGCCACAGCACCTGGGCGGCGGCAGGTGAGGGACCAGGGAGCCTACCTGATCCTCCGAGAGCTGCACAGCTGGGAGCCTGAGTCTGATGTGCGGGGGGCTTGTGAGAAACTCATCCAGGTGGGTGCAGCGTTAGGGGAGGGGGGAGGGGCATGCCCACGGGGTGCCAGCGCCTGCTCACCTGCCTCCGCTGCTGCAGGTGCTTATTGGGGATGAGCCGCAGCGGGGCATGGAGAACCTGCTGGAAGTGCAGGTGCCTGAGGATGTGGAGCGGCAGCTGCAGGAGCTGGACCGCCGGGAGCAGGAGCAGTGCCAGCGGGAGCAGCAGGAGCAGCAGTGCCAGCAGGAGCTATCTCCGGAGCCACGCTCGGAGGGGGCCGCACCCACCTGAGGCACCTGCACAGACCACTGCCAGCTCCAGGCCCTCTTGATGAGCCGTCCATCCTGGCCTCCCAGATCAGGCCGTCCTGCAGCTGCCTGCAGGCCTCTGGGTCTTTTTGCTTTGAGGCTGTGCCCTCCTGGGAGGCAGAGCTGCACTTGAGCTCTGGGTTCGGGCTGAGGGCTCTAAGGCTAATGCCCCTTAGACATCAGCGGGTTTCGGGCACCTCCCTGTGCCCTGTTGCTTGAGCAACAATGAAACTGGTGCCTGGCCAGCGTGGTTCAGTGCGTGAGCATTCGACCTACGAACCAGGAGGTCACGGTTTGATTCCCGGTCCGGTCGGAGTACCTTGAGCCAGGTTGTGGGCTCTACCCCCAGCATGGGGGCGAGGAGGAGGCAGCTGATGGTAATTCTCATCACTGATGTTTCTATCTCTCGGTCCCTCTCCCTTCCTCTCTGAAATCAATAAAAATAATATATATTTTTTTAAATGCAACTTATTCAGAGGAGCTAGCCAGATCCTGTGGCTCTCAGGTGCTTCCAGTGGGATGGCCCGGGAGCCACGCACCTCCTCCCAAGCTGAGTGCCCGTGGGCCTGGACACGGCAGCCTGAGAGGCGAGCGAGCAGGCGCTTCCCAGTCCCAGGGTTTCCACCAGGGTCGAGGCCTAGTCAGGTGTAAGCAGTGCCTCTTCCTGCCAGGCCCACCCACGTCCCTCCCCATGGCCTGACCTGAGGCCTTCACAGCGGCAGCCTGCCCCTGGGCTCTCCTAGAGCTGCCTGCCCAGCCTGTCCTCGGAGCACTAGTGGATGCTGCCTCCCCTCCATCCTCTCCCCCTTTCCACTTGACCCAGGCCCTGTTCTTCCCGCAGCTCCCCTCCAGCACAAGACCCAGTCCCCTGCCCCCTCATGGGTGGTCCCTCTACTTTGCATCCTCCCAGTAGTCACATGGCGGACCCTGGTGGGCGGTCAGTGTGGCCCTCACCCTCTACGTTCCCTTCCTGGGCTCCCACCACATGTCGTGCCATCTTTGGCATAGCACCCAAGTACTGCCCCCCAGGCCCGGGCGCCCCTGTCCTGTAGCCCAGCAAGGCTCCCTGGGGGCCCCAGACTGCCATCCCTCCTGTCCTCTGTCCCCTGCTGTTCCCGAAGCCACAGGTCTGCTCCCCCGTGCTAGCCCCTGGAGGCCAGTGCTCATGGGAGCCTGGTACCCCCTGGTGTGGTCAACCCACTCCCCCTCCCCAAAGCTCTGGCCTATGGGCATTAAGGGGGCTCGCCAGTCCCCCCAGACCGCTGGTTCACACCTCTGCTTCACAGAAGAGTGTTTATGAAGCCTCCACCCTGCCCACGCCCTGCCCTTAGCTGACCAGGTGGTGGCCCAGCGCACTCCTGAGGACGCTGGGGGGGCGCCGCGAAGGGGGCCGCCTGGCGACGCCCACCCAGAGGCCGGCCTTGGCCATGCCCCGGAGCCCCAGCCTCACGGAGGCAGAGCTCGCCCCGCTGCGAGGGCGGGCCCCCGGGGGCGGGGGCGCTGGGCCAGAGGCACTCTTGGGGGTCCCCCTTTGCGGGGAGCGACGCAGCTGCAGAAGCGGCCTGGCGGGGTCGGAGTCCTCTCTGGGCTCCGCCGGGTTCTCTGCTGGGGACGCATGGGGGGTCAGGGCGGGCGCTGAGGGGCGGCCAGCCCTCCCGCCCGCCCCGGGCACCGCCCCACCTGGCGCCGCGCCGGGCACCGCGCGGAGGAGCGCGGGCGGGGCGGGCAGCATCCAGCGGTGCGCGGCCACCTGCCGCAGGTCCGGGCGCGCGCACGGCCGCAGCTGGAGCAGCGCGCGGATCAGGTCCTGGCACTCTGCGGGCGGGAGGCCACGGCTGCAGCGCCGCCCCCGCCGCCCTCCCTCCCCGGGGTGTCCACTGAGCCCCAACCCGCCCTCCCCAGCTCCCCCCTCTCCACGGCGGGAGGGGTGGGTGACAGGGTGCCCGGCAGTCTGACTCTGTGCCCTCCTCCTGGCGCAGAACGGCCCGGGGGCCCGGGGGCGGGCTCCGCTGGGGACAGGCCGCGGGCGGGAAGGCGGGCCCCGGTCTCCCGCGGGGATTGGGGGGCCCCGGGGCGGGCTCACCTGGGGACAGGCCTGGCGGGAAGGCGGGCCCCCGGCGCATCAGCAGCAGCATGCGGCGCGGCCGGCGCTCCTTGAAGGGCAGCCTCCCGGTCACCATGGCGAAGAGGATGACACCGCTGGGGCGGGGGCTCCTCGGGCCGCCCCCCACCCTCCGGGCCTGGCCGCTGGGCGCCCGCGGCGGGGGGACACTCACAGGCTCCACATGTCCGCGCGCTCCCCGTTGTACTTCTTGCTCATGAGGATCTCGGGCGCCGTGTAGGCCACGGAGCCGCAGAAGGTGCTCAGCAGCGCGTTCTTGAGCGCCGACTGGTTGGCGAAGCCGAAGTCTGTGCGGGGGTCGGGGGCGGGGCCGGCGGAGCACCCACCGGGGAGGGGGTGAGGGAGAGGGCTGTGCGATGGGCATGGGGGTGGGGGTGCCTGCAGGGTGGCTGTAGGCAAAGTGGGTGACAGGTGAGCAGGTCACCCCAGTCGGGAGCAGACCCTGCGGTGAGTGTCCGGGTCAGCAGTCAGCGCGCCCGGGCGGGTGGGAGTGGGCGGGGCTCACCTGTCAGCTTCAGGAAGCCCTGGTCATCCAGCAGGATGTTCTCACACTTCAGGTCCCTGCGTGGGGAAGCGCAGGTGGGGCTGGGCCTGGGCTCGGCGGGCCGCCCTGGTGCGGGCCGGGGCGGGCGGGCGGGCACCCTCACCGGTGCACGACGCCCGCGCTGTGGCAGTGGGCCAGGGCGCTGACCAGCTGCCAGAACAGCCTGTGGGCCTCCTTCTCCTCCAGCCCTGGGCAGCGGCGGCGCTCCGACACCGTGTTGATGTGCTCCAGCAGGTCGCCGCGGCCCGCCAGCTCCAGGACCAGGTAGGCGCGCTGGCTGTTGTGGTAGGTCTCGTACAGCTGCACCTGCAGGACCACACCCGCCGGCTAGCACACCAGGAAGGGACCCACCGTCCGGTGCCCTCGACGGGGGTGTCAGGAAGGGGAAGGAGGCAGGCCCGGGTGGGCGGCAGGTGCGGGGGGTCAGACAGCTGGGGGCTGCCTACCACGTTCAGGTGCTTGTAGGTGGCATTGAGGGACGAGATCTCTCGGGGCAGGAACTTCTGCGCAAACTCCACGGGGGCCTCGGCAGTGGAGACGATCTTGATGGCCACCTGTGGGGCGGGTGGGAGAGGCTCAGTGCTGACATGATGGGGCGGGGGAGGGGTACACAGAATCCTGGGAGACAGTGCCCTCCTCTGTCTCCCTCCTGCCGGGGGCACTTCCTCGGGGATCCGAGAACGCCAAGTGGCCGGCCGGCCTGTGGGCGCCTTGGCCTCCAGGGAGGGTGTGGGATCGGTTGGGAGAAAGCCAGAGCAGCTGGGAGGCGCCTGAGAAGCGTTAGGATGGATGGGGCCCAGGAGGGGGGGCCGGGTTGAAGGACACTCGCGCCCCGGGCGGGCCGGGGAGCAGGCAGCTGTCTTACCATGCTGTGGCGCTTGTCCCGCAGGTCGGAGGCCAGCCTGAGGTTGTGCTGCATGCGCTCCTGCGTGGCGAAGGCCAGGTAGACTCTGGAGAAGGCCCCGGAGCCGATCTTTTTGGAGGAGAGCAGGTAGCCCTTGTCCCTGCACTCACGCACCTGGGCCATAAAGGTTTGCTGGTCTGGCTTCCGCCAGCCATTGCCCTTCATGGAGGGCAGGGTGCTGTGGACGCAGCTGGGGCTGTCCAGCACTTGGGAGGGAAAGGAGGAGGAGGCGTTGGCAGAGGCCTGGCTGGTGTCTGAGGAGCTGGGTGACCTGGGCTGCGGGAGGCCAGGCGGGACCTGGGGCAGAGGCAGGGGCGTGGCCGGGGCTGAGAGCTCAGGGTAAGGACTGAGGCTGTGAGGAGAGCCAGTTCTGGGGAAGAGGAGCAGGTTCTAGAAGGAAGGGTTCTAGAACTGCACCTGCATTGTGCCCTCAAAGGGGGCCCTTCTGTCCCCAGGACCTGCCTGTCGAGAGCATCTTGCTGAAACCGGCCCTGCCCTGCATAGGCCCCTCTCAGTGGTGAGAATCCCTGAGGGAAACGACAACACAAGCAGCACCTGTCTTAACTGCACCCGCCCCTTCCTTGTCCTTTGGGAGGGTGCCACGCAGGCAGCCGAGGGAGGGGAGTATTCCTCTGCTGAGGCCTGAAGCTTCTCCTGCCCGAGCAAAGGCCCCCATAGCTCTCTGCAGACTCCAGGACAAAGCCCCAAGGAAGTGAGGCCCCCTGGGCCCACGCCAATCCCTGTAGCTTCCGGAGAGAGCAGCCAACAGGACCCTGCCCTCTCCTGCCCTCGAGAGTCTTCTGTGAGCAAAGGGAGTAGCAGGTGGCATTGATTGAGTGCCTACTGCGTGCCAGGTGCCATGCGAAGCGGCCATAGTGGGTGTGCCTCCCCCCTCATAGCACAGACCACACCTGATGTGCCTGACCCAGGAGGCAGGCAGTGCACATTCCGGATCTAAAATCGGAGCGTAGCCAGGTGATGCCCATTTTACAGGTGACGGGACTGAGGCCCTCATACACAGTCTCTCTGCTATGAACTGGATGGCACGGTTGGAGTATGGCAGCTCTGGGAGTGTCCCTCAGGGCCTGGGCGTGGTGGGGCTGGGTGTCTGTGGACCTGACTTGTCCCCCACTGGGACTCCTGCTGGGTGGGGAGTGCCTGCTGCAGGGAAGGCCTGGGCATGCTCTGCCTGCCAGGCCGAGGCTCCTTTTCTCACCCCTGTTGGACTGAGAGCTGTTTGGGAACAAGGCTTGTGTTTGCTATTCCCTTACTCACCCACAGCCTATATCTTGCAAATTGCCTAGAACGGTGGTCGGCAAACTGTGGCTCTCGAGCCGCGGTTTGCTGCTCTGTTGACTAATGAATTTGCCGACCACTGCTTTAGGGAAAAACACTTAAAAAAACATTTTAATG